TTTTTTTTTTTTTTTTATCTTAGTTGCATAATGAGAGGTAATCATCTTCATATCTTATCTCACCCCACTCACATGCGATATAACTTGAACTCAAAACTTCTTACTTCCAACGAAAAAATATTACCACTGAGTTATTTAAGTAATTAGGTAAAACCTTAGATTTTTATTTTGACTTTGTCTCTTTTATTTTTTATCTTAGTTGTATAATGAGAGGTAATCATCTTCATATCTTATCTCACCCTACTCACATGCGATACGACTATTTAAGTAATTAGGTAAAACCTTAGATTTTTATTTTGACTTTGTCTCTTTTATTTTTTATTTAGTATGATTTATAAAGTGGGACTTGTATTCATTAAGAAAGAATTTTCTACCGGTTGTCACAATAGCATGTCACATAGAATAGAGATATTAATATGTCATTGACTATGATAACAATAATGTCTAATTAATGGTGTACACTTCAAATCTATTAAATAATGATGAATTTTCCTAAAATTTATTGTTAAAGGCTAATATTCTTCAATTTTTACGTGAAGAGTTAATAATTTTAAAATCTATAATTTAAAGGATTAAATAGGGGGTTAAACCCTACTAATATACCCAGAAGCATATCACTATATTGATGTGTGAAATTATGATTAATACTCTTTTTCAAAATATGTTATACAACATTACATTAATGATCTTCTCATGGTTTTGCCTAAAAATTAAAATAATCCATAAAAATTTTAAATAAAATTCTAAAATGAGAATGGACAGGATGGTGACTTATGTTTGGTTTTGCGGCTTGGTAAAGCTGCTGTGAAAAAAAAAAAAGGATTTTAAAAGAGGGTTTCTCAATATTAATTTAAAATTTTGGCGTTTTAATGAGATGTGGCATGCTGGGGCTTGGGTTATGCATAAATTGGTGGATTGGTTTCGGCTTTCTTTCTCTTGCCATGTTCCGTTAGCATTTTAAGGTGTGATCACATTTAATTTTATTAAAATTACATAAATTTTATTTAGTTTAATTGTTATATTTTTAATTTTTAATTTTTAATTTTTAAGCAATTAACTTTAAAAACATTAACATATAAATTTATTTAAATTTTATTAAGTAATAAATATTAATTATTTTATTAATTATGAATTAGTTTTTTTAAAAATTTATTGACTATTTTAATAAAAAAATAATAAAATTAGTATTTTTTAAATAACTTTGTGTGAGCTTGATAAAATAATTAATTAAACTATAAACAAGAAAAATATAAAATTCAAGATGCCTTAACTTCAGTTTAATGTCAAGACATCTATTACAACCGTTAAA